ATGTAGGAGCTTTTGCCATTTCCTCAGCTAGCTGGACTGAGCGGGCCATCATCACCGTTCCTCTATCACACTCCCGCTGCTGTTCAACCGTGTTGGCCTTGCGTCCGTACGGTTCGGCTCGAGTCCTGACAGGTCTCTGGTAGGTTTGGTGCTTCCCTGAACCTCAATCGCGAAAATGTCGAACAGGGGAAGCCCGCATGAAAGCCATCTATCAGACCTTCCTTAGCCCATCTGAGGTGAGTGTTGTAGGGTTCGTCATCGCACAAGTCCTGGCCCCAGTTCTTCTCCGCCGCAATGACTTCCACGATGAGACCCGCCTTCTTTGCATTTCGATGAATGGCTGCTCCCAATGGATCTCTCGGCCCTGCGTAGTGGTGCAGGAAGCGGAACTTTCTCTTCTTCACATAGTCCGCCAGCTTGCCCTCCAGTTTCTTCTTGGCAGCTTCGTTGCTCTTCTCCTCACCTCCTTCTCCCTTCTTCTCCTCCTCATTGCCCCCTTCGTCGCGTTCATCTTTGCCACCTTGGTCGCCTTCGCGGTCACCACCCTTCACGTCTTTGCCGCGCATTTGTGCTGGGGGTGACCTGGCGACCTGCAGGATGAGCAGTTGCGCATCCTCTTCACCGTGTTCAGACATTCTGCACCCGGCGGCAATGAGCCACACGGTGCATTCCCATTGTTCCAACTGAAACAGATCGATTCGACCTGTTTCCCTCCTCTTCCCTGTTTCCCTCCACTCTTCCCTCCTTGTCTTCTTTCGAATCCTCCATCGTTTCGGGATTCTCGCAGTCTTTGCAACTCCTCTCTTTCCGCCTGCAATTTTCTCTTCTTGGCTTCCTTTCGATCTCGGTTCACCTGCCTTCGACTTGATGATGGTGCCGACGGTGAGGTCGTTCCGAAAGTGCCTGACTCCATGGCTGGTAGAAGTGCCTCTGCTCCTCCACGCAAACTCCCTTGGGCGATCGTCTCCTGGGGGGTTTGCGCTCTCCCTTTTGATCCATTGGCTAACCAAGCCAGGGCTGGACCATGAATCTGGTCCTGCCAAAATTTCAATTCGTTCGGAATCATCTTGAACACCCCTTCCCATGGTTTGCTCTCGTCGAAGTGCGGAGGAGGTGCCCTGCCTTCCTTCGTGCACATGTTGATCTTCAAGCGTAGTCTTGACAGTAGTTCGCTCCTGGCCATCTCGTCTGCGGCGTACACCAAGTGCCAAGCGTCCGGGTACAAGCGAACCATCTTCTCTACAAACAGCTCGTACCCATGTAATGGGGCTAGTGAGCACTCCAGCAGCATGATCATGGCCGTGGTGAAGACTCTGTAGCAAGCCCGCCATTGGGTGAAGTTTGATGGACCTGGTAACTCCTTCGAAACGTAGCCATCCGCAGTGGGCACCCAAGTTCGATATTTCGAAGCTCTCAATGCCTTCCGTCCGAATGGAACGAACACCCCGAAGTCCGCATAGGGTGGTTTCCCAAGGCTCAACTTCTTCTTCAGGGCTGAGAGCTGTTCGATCGTCGGCTCCTCCTCCTCCTCGGGCATTGAACCCGTCGTGTTGATGTACTTCTGCAGGAGGAGCAATTTGTCGTCCTCGTTGAGGACTTCGAATTCGCCATCGTCGCCTTGGTCCAACACCTGGGTGAACTTTAGTGTCCTCTCCTTCGTGTCCTTGTCCTCCTTCTTGGATGTAGTCGTAGTTCGTCTCGAAGGTGAGGTGGTTGAAGTGGCTTCCCATGGGTCCTCCTCGATCCAGTCGTCCCAAAGTCCACCACCCTTCGTGTACATGATGCGCCTCGCCAGCTTCCATACCAGCCCCACTTGTGCAGCCTGGATCGCTGTCAAAGGTCGATCCCCTGGCAAGGAGGCCTGCCCCAAAGCCGCTGCCACCAGGTTGCCCAGGAGGGCGGCCACCAGCCGGATGTCCTCTCCAGGAGCCCCCACTTCCTGGGTAGAGGCTGACCAAAGCTCTGCCTCGACCTGGAAATGGGCGGTCAGGTCCGACACCCTCTCCATCGCCGCCGCGGCATTCGCGGCTGGGAACATGGCTGCACGCGAGGTGCGCAAGCCACCACCATGTAAAAAGCATGGTGGCAGCAAAAACACTTGAGCCAAAATGGCCCCACCCCAGCTGCCACTCAAATTGTCCAGCAGAAAAACTGTGTTTTTCTTTCACAAAAATTTGTCTATTTAGATTATATATTTTATTATATATCGATAAAATATGCATGAAATTCTAAATATTTCGATTTATCAATAAATTAAAATTCTTATTTGTTTTTTTCGGATTCTTTCGGGATCCTCTGCCTCTGTGGCCCTGAGATGGCCCTGTGCATAGTGTTCATAGTGCCCGCAAGAGAGGGTTTTGCGGGAGAAGCGGAGGGGAAAAATGAATCCCTTGGATACATATCATTTAATATATCCATGTATTGTCAATAGTTCAACCTGCCTCCTCTAAATGTTACCCTCAATTGGCTCGCAAAAAGCATGCCACGTTCGAAAGGCCCAGATTTTGACCTCGGGTGGCTCGTAAACAGGTATGCTACCTTGGAATGGTTCCTTCCTCCGCTAAACTTTGTTAAATTTTATCCTTGAGTAGCTCGAGCAGAGGAACCAATACGGAGGATGAATCGGCTTGAGAAAACGTAGTGCAGATTTCGTGGCAGGCGCTGCAAGTGAAAGAAAATAGCGCAGATTTTGTGCCGCTGGAGGTGGGTTGGGGGGGCGTGCTCAGCGCCTCCGGCCCAGAGCGAACTAAAAAGAACAAATACTTGACAATAGAAGCAGCAAGGAAAGGCAACAAAAACTATAAATCCAAAGGAACCAAAAGCAAAGGCCCACACCAAAAGCAAAATAAGCAACAAAAACAAACAAAAGCAAGGCAAACACCAAAAAAGCAAAACAGCCTTTCGTAACATTGTACAATTATCAATCCTTTTGAAATGTTGATTTTCAAACGCGGGCTTGATTTGTTCAGTTTAAGAGTTTCAACGCTATCAACGCTGTCACAGCTACAGTAACAGGCGGCACCCAAGGCTTCCACCAGGACGCTGGGTAATCTGGTCGCAGTGCATGTCCTGGTGCACCGGAATGTTCAAGCGGATTCCTCGTGCAACTGAAAGACACCACCGGCACAAAAACAAGACATACAAAGCTGTTGAACACATTATATAATCAAGCTGTGCAAAGCTATGTTATAAAACTGTTTAACTTATATACATCTTCAGGTGTCTGTGGATGATGAGGCCGTCTTGGAAGTGCGCACCCATTGCAGTCAAAGTCTTTGTCCCAGGAGCCAAGCTTTTCCAAGTCTTCGATATCCATTTTACCATCCCACCCGCGCCACCAGGGTCCATCACTTCGCTTCCCAAAGGTTCTCTGCCAGTATTTCCTGTAAGCCAAAGGCAAGCAATCCACCTGTATGGTACTATTCCACGGTAGGGCTCGTTCTCGGAGGCGTTGTTGCTGTCCAAGGAGGAGCTGGTAGTCTTGAAAAATGATCTTCTTGGTCATGTTGTCAAAAAGGCGCTTCAAAGGTGGAATCTTCTCCGCAAATGTTGCAAAGTTTCGGTAGGCACGATAGATCATTCGCATTTGGCCTGGTGCAGTGGGTGTGCATCCAATGTATTGATAAAGGTCCATCTTGCCAGGAATAGGTGGCGTATATAAGACAATGTTGCAAGGAGCTTCAAAGCCATTTCGGAGTCCTCTGCGGCAGGGTCTTCTCAAAAACAAGACCCTACCACCAACAAAAACACTCAGAAAGGCCCGTCCGGCTCCACAATATTCTCTGGTGGCTGTTGGGTGAATTCCTGACTATCCTGACTTTAACCGAATCGGTTGCGCAGAAAAGTAACCAATGCTGGAAAAAACACTTCAGATTCAGATTCAGGGACCAATCCTTCTTTCACTCGACCAAAAAAGCCATTGGCAGTCTTCGTCACTGTCATGTGAAGAGGCTCGACCATCTTCCGGTTCCCAATGGTGCCCTCGTGGGCAAAAGGCACGTGAGCGGGATCCAGCAAATTCTCAACCATCAACGAGTGGTCAATGGGCAAGTCGATGCATAGGGTCTGCAGAACGAAGCTGCTTGATTCCACCAGCGGTGCTCCAGAATCATCCGTATCCCGTGCGGGCTTTGAAGCGCTCAATGCCTCTTCAACCGACCCAGGCCAAACATATACAACTCCATCCTGCTCAAAAACAGGATAATGAGGCACTTTGGCATTGGATGGAATAGACTTCCCCTCTTCCAAAGCGGGTATCTCAATGACCTTACCTGACGTTCCGTCGATTTGCCAACCATGATAAATGCATTCCAAATGGCCCGTGTCGTGCACCTTGCCCAGGGACAAGGGTGCTGATCGGTGTGGGCACCTGTCTGCCACACAATAAGCTTTGCCAGATAGATCCCTCCAAAGCACAAGTGGATCGCCCAAAAGTGATGTAGACATCGGCGATTCTGCTGCAGCGCCCACTTTTCCACGCTTCGCTCTCGGGATGTCTGAGCTAAGGGCCAGAGCATACCACTGATTCCGAACATCCAATGGAAGATGTGAATGGAGTAAGCCAGTCTTTTCGCTTGCCTTTTCACCTCCGGGGTCCTCGGGCCTTTCTGTTGAAAGCAATGGCGTCGTGGCCATGGGCTGGTGGAGAGCCCCGTGCCAAACAGGTGTGGCACTTGCAGGGGGTCCTTCACAGTTTGTAATTTTGCAATTTATCTGGTCTGGGCCAAGGCTCAGGAAGTGCAAGTCTGGCGCCAGTCACCTAAACACGAGAATTTCTGGAGCTGCTTCACAGTGCATGACGCCAGCACTGCAATTGATCCCCACGCAGCAATTTTCCAACAAGGCGATCAAAAGCACAAATGAATTTCAATGAATTTCAAACAAACTCTTTTGAGATGGAACTGTCCGGGTGGCACCACCTGGCTACTTGTTGCCATCTGTTGTACGCAATGGGACTATATAAAATCTGCAAGGCCAAAAGCATCTCAGTGTGCTTCTGGTCAAGGTATGAGCAAATTGCCAAAGCCAACTTTCCTGAGGGCTGTGATCACATCCAAGTCCTGCCGGGAATGGGCCACACCATTCCCCAAACATACTCCTTGGTTGAATGATGTTGCGGTCCTCTTGCGGCAAAGGTTGAGCACCACTTCTAACCATCTTGGCCTCTTCATCGGACAAACGGGAGTCCTTGTCCTCAGCCCGACCCACGACTTCTCCCTCTCTCTCTCTCACGTGGGGAATCTCTCTATTGGCACTCTTGAGAGAGAGTGTGGCAACTATTGCTCCTAGTAGCGAACATTGCTCCTAGTAGTACGGCCAGGAGCCCCTAGTAGCGAACATTGCTCCTAGTAGCGATGCCAGGAGCCCCTAGTAGCGTCCTCTATTCGCTCTTGCTCATAGGCCTCTTACTTCTCAGAGTTTGGGATTCAACTCCCGAAGCCTGAAAAGCTGTGGCTGCCAATGGCCAATTGTAGGACTGTCATAGATTGGGGGGATGTCATCATTCAGCACACTATCATGTCAAATGTTTGTTCAACAAGATTCCGCATCCAGCAATCGCATCTTCTGTGACAGGGCCTCTGCCTTCTTGAAGTCTTCCTGGAGAGGGTGCGGAAGTTGAGGCTACGGCCACTCCATCAGAATGACTTGATTGGGGAGTGACCAGCCGTGGCACTTTGTTCATATTAGATGTGAAAGCACGGCATCGCAAAGTTTGGTTGCCAACAATCAACTTGGATGCTTGCCTTTGGGATCAAGGCAAAGAAGCTGGCGAGGTTGACGCCAATTGAAGAAACCTTGCGCATGCATCGAGGTCTCCATTTTGCACAACACACCGTACGCACCATAAAATAGAAAAACTCCTGTAGGGCAAAGATCCGCTGCTTGACCTTTGCATCTGCTGCGCGCCTCTTTCTGGAAAGATGTCTTGTCTGCCTTGGCTATTATGAGTATTGGCCCTTCTCAAACTCACCAGCACAAAATCATCAGTTGAGGACGCAGACATATTATATACATCGTAATCATTATCATCACCCAGTCTTTGAATGCCAGCAGTCTGCTGTGGACTTGGCCAGGACCTCTCGTGCACGACCCACTGCTGCCATGGCGTCATCACATGCTTTGAAGCGGGCAGCTTTGTCAAAGGATATGACCTGCCCATCTGTGGAGTTAATGAATAGTGTTTGGTTTCCTGTAACGTTGGGCTCATAGGCTGGAGTTCCTAGCCACTGCCACGAACTTGCGCCTTGTCATCTGGATCCGCATACCTGATGTTTGCAATATACCTCACTCTACTGCAGGCTCTGCACTCATTCCATCCGAACCCTCCTTGCTCTGCTTGTCTTTCTGTTGATTGATTGCTCCCCTCTCTCCCTCTCTCTCTCTCTCCCTGCTGTTTGCCAAGGATCTGAGTGCATGCAAACCGATATGCATCCAAGTCGGTGTCCGAAAGCTGTCCAAACCGTTGCCGCATCGTTGCCAGCTCGTCTGTGGACTCGGACGAAGCAGGCTGCACAAAGCGAATATCAACGGGAATTACGGTACTTTTGTTCAGTGTGGTTGTTTCTTTTCTCCGGGCTTCCTAAAAACAAGACAAAATAGAAAAGGCCTGTTCCCTTTCGCATGTATCTTTTTCCTTCCCCCTTCCTTACCCTTGTCTTTTCCTTCCTTTAATTACACCTTCTTCTTGTCGTTCCTGCTTTGCTTGTCCTTCTTTGTTGTCCTTCCTTAACTTCTCCTTCCCTCTTTTGCTTCATGCTTTCCGCCTAGGCCTAAACTTAAAGCCACAAAGAAAAACTGTCAGATTACAAACATGAAGACATGAAGAATTCAAGTGAAAATTCCCCTCCCACTACTACACAAGTCAGGAAAAAAACACTAAGAACGAGCTCAGGAGGTTCACTAAGGCAGGTTCAGAAGCCTGCGCCGCAGATTGCGCCAGACCAAAGACTCCAAACACTGGGACAAGGGATGTAAACCTGAGATCTCAAAATTATCTGAACAAAGCAGGCATCGGTTGAATGATGCAACAATGAATGAAAACAAGCATTGTGTCAGTTGGCGGAGGGAAGGACTCGACGGCTGCCAATCTCTTGGGCGAGTCCTCTGACGATTGGGAAAACTCACACGGCCTTTCCTTCCTCAGTCATTTGGCTCCTCCGCATGCGCCGGCGGCTCAAGGACCAGCCCCCACAAGAGCTGCAGCAGCTAATTGGATGCAGCAAGGGGAAAGCCCAGCAACGACTCGTGAAAGGCTTCCTACCCCGTAACAGTATCTTCATGTATCTTCAGCCTCCAACCTAATAGCGATGGCCTCCAACTGTATCCTCATGTGTCTTGAGGTCCTCGCATTGCACCTCGTCAAACGAGAGTTTTCCTTGCCTGCAGTGCGGGCCTTCGCGCAAGCCCAGCAAGCCCAGAGCTTGAAGAGATACTTGGAGTTGGTCCTGCCCATGCCTCAGTTGTTGACACGTCACGCTGTGGCAGCCAGAATGCTTTCAAACAAGGGACGGAGGGAGCGACCTCTAACTGGCAGGTCAGAACGCAAGACACCTCACTCACACATGACGCTTCAGTCATCAATGACCCCCATCTGTGAAGAACTCTTTCAACATTTACTGGTTTGAAGTGCTTCACATTGGTGAATATGTTTTAAGGTGAACTGAGGCGACAGCAACAACAAGGCAAAGGGACTTGCGTGCTAAAGGTCTACTGGGCATGGCTGAGAAGGAACAAGTTCTTCTTTTTCAGCTGCTCGTGCTGCTCGAGTTCTCAATTGTTTGTGATACAGAGTTTCTCATTGTTAATTGTTAATGATGTGTTTTGTTCAGTTCCTCATGGCAATGCTTTGCATGAACCAGCATCGGCTCTTCTGGATCTACACCGATTCAACGTCCTGTGCGACAAGCTCTTGGATTGCTGGGAATGGCTGCCAAATCGAAAGCCCAAAAAATGACGTGTCGATTGGCCTTTTCAGCCCAGTATGCCTCATGTGATTCATGTGTGAGGGGTTGTGTGATGCAAATGACGGATGACTCACAATTACAACAAATAAGCAAGGGACTTGGCACAAACCTTCTGTGCAAGTCAGAGTCTTTCATGCCCCCTGCTTTCGCAAAAGGATAAGGGTGTAGCCTATAGGGTATACCAATTTGACAACTTGCTATTGCCATCTAGTGAAGCACATGTCATGCTGGCTTCAAAGCCATTTTCGACCAGACTGCTAAGAACGAAATACATGCAACGCGCTTCTGCGCAGGTTGTTCTGGCAGGCAGCATTAGCATGTATATAAGTCACATACGCTCAATGTACATTGGCCAGGGCATATCCTGGAATTAATTGCCCACTCTCAAATGAAATCTAGCATGCCACGTGGCGCAGAGGATGCTGGCGCTGGTGCGCGGCCTCGCGTGGGAAGATTGGATTTCAGTGGTCGGTTAGCAATCACATGTATGATTTGATGGCCTCTGCGCGACCGCCGGGTGACTACCCGCAGGCCTGCGCATACAATAGAATACTGACAAAAACGCATGCATACTAATACCAATATGATATGCCCAACTTGAACTAAATCGCCACGTGGTCTTGAACATCACTACCATGACCACACTGCTTTCGGCTTGCAGCCCTTGCATTCTTCTTCTGCGGCGTTCTTACACACCTGCGTTGCGCATTTGAGGCGAAGCCACAGGCCGCAAAGCTGCCTCTTCCAACTTGGACAATTACCGATCTAAAGAAAAAACTCCTAGTAGCGTTCTTGTTCCTAGTAGTAAGGCCAGGAGCCCCTAGTAGCGTTCTTGCTCCTAGTAGCGATGCCAGGAGCCCCTAGTAGCGAACATAATTACTTAGTAGCTTCTTGTTCCTAGTAGTGAGAATGCTCCTAGTAGCGTCCTTGTTCCTAGCAGATAAAATAGCAAACGACCTGAAGTGAACCACAAGCATGTCAGTCCGTTCACTGTCTTTTGTTTAACTTGGTTTGGCGGCCTCCCTCGGCGAATTGGACGGCGACGGCTCGGGCTCAGCAATTGAAGGGCGACGTCTGCAAGGAACGTCCTCCACCTGGCAGTCATACTATGCGCTCAAAAATTGAGCGTTGATCTGCATTGCTTGCGCGATGGGTTGCAGTTTTGCCTTGCAATACTGGTGGCCAAACCCAAAAAAACATAGGATACTCAAGCACTGCTTGCCAAAAATGCTGCGCCGACCTCTGGCTCTGCGAAAGACCTCAATGCTTTTGGCTTTCTTTTGCACTCAGGTTGGAGGCCGTCGCTTTTCTTGCTTTCCTTTTGCACTCATAGCGCTCAGTCCACGCTGACTCAGTCATGCACACTTTTAGCGGCACCCCACCACGCGACTTCCTTCGACGGCGGTCCTTTCGCCCAGGCAAGTTGGGTTTATTTCACTCCCCTAGTTACTAGAAAGCTTAGGTACTTGGAGTGTCCTCCCTGATCGGCTCGGAGGCTATTACCCGGCACCCTGGCACAAGCACCAGCTCAGCTGGGCGATGAGTGACTTTCTCACCTGACGATGGCTGGTGGCTTCTGAGCGCCGGTGCCGTGCCTTCTGATTTTGCGCGTTGTCTGACCTGCAACACGAAGGAAGACAGCTCACATGAAGGAAGGAAATGAAATGCATGTGCAAGCCGTGCCCCCATTTCTTTCTATAACGAAGCCCGAGCAAGAAGTACTAGAGTTTACTAGAGCCCTAACCTCGCAAACCGATCTAGGCCCTGAAACTGCTTCGCCGTCTCTGCTCACAAGCGAATCGAGCAAAATTGGGGACAACTTGGAGAATTGTCAATGCAAAAATTGTTTGATTACAACTGAGTTGTGTTTTTTTCTGATGTAAGGTCCTGTAAGGTGTTATCATTTTATTGGTGCCTACGCCAAGCCTACTTTCTGCCTACGCGCTCAAAGTTTTGGCCTACGCGCAGGTCGAAGTTAGGATAGGTTGCCTACGCGGCCTACGCGCGTGGAGTTTTTTTTAATCACTGCATGGTTTTGCCTACGTGGCTACAGTTTTGGAAGCTTTTCGCTGTTTTCGTCTATTGTTTTGCAACCAAGGCGTTGGGTTCCTTCTTAGCCATGGCGAAAGGCCTACTAACGGCAAAGGCAGGCCATATGGACGAGGAAGAGTTGCAAACCTTCACTTGTCTGGGGTAAAAAGTCTTCCCGCACCAGTTTTTGCCTACGCCTACCCTACTCTTCGCCTACGCAGTGCCTACGTCTACACTAAACAGTTTCCACCGGTTTGGACATATAGTCTGGGGGGGTCTACACATGAATTATTCACTGGGTAGGTCATTCCATCCGCCAGCCAATGACTTGCTAAAGCAAGAGTAACTCCACCTAGCTGATGCCAGCTTTCATGACATGTTGGATCATGTTGGCCCAACCTGTGGTATGTCCCATGGTTCTCTACTCCACTAGCCACTGCATGTTGGTTTTGCTAATATGTGCTAATATCTTGCCTACTCTCATCCAGGTAGCATTGAAATATTGAGAAGTCATACTTATTAAAGTCTTCCTGTATGACCCACATTCGTCGCCCACGCGGCTTCTGCCACACAAAAAATGCAAAATGCAAAACATGCCTACGCCAGCCTACGCCCCCAAGCAGAATGCCTACATCCAACCATTTGCAGGTCAACCCTTATATATAAGTATATATAAGTCCCTATATAATTCTATATACATCTAAAAAACTCTGGTCAACTGTACGCCATTGTGGTCATACAGTTGCACATACGTAGCTATGTTCAAAACTGAGCTAGCAGGTTTGGGTGGACGTTCACCTCCCTCAGTGACAATGTCTTGACCTACCACATCATTGACTCGCCGCTTTAATTTTAATGTGACTCGGAACAAGTCGGCCAATCTGTGACAGCAAAAGTCAAAGTTTCTCTTCTATCCAAGAACTGTTGGACTTTTCTGGTCAGAATGCTCGTACCAACTTAGCAGGGCCCAAAGCCTATAACAACAACATGAAGCATCACTTCAGGCCTCGGAGCACCTGTCGGCGTCCTCTGCGGGGCGCGCGCTTGACTTGGCATGTCAAGTAACGTTTGACGTAGCACGAGGAGCACGCGTTGGTCCACCCAGCTTTGAACCGCCCTTTGACCGCAAAACTTGCGGAACTGCTCCTCGTCGGCTCCTTCGGCAATTCCCACCTGAACATGCAAATAGTCGCGCATGGTAAGGACAAACTTCGAAGCTCCTTCTGAGGTCTGTACCAGGACTGATGACAATGATGAGGTGCCGAACCTAACCCAAATGGAAAGCATTGCGTTGCAAGCGCACATGTGCGAAGCACGGTGCATGTGCTTCGAGGCAGCTAGCCAAGGCTGAGGCAACGATGCGAGCCTGGAATTAAGAACGTGGGCCAAGACCGGATTTTATATATATATATATAAGCCATCAGAATCCAAGTCAAATCAGGTCCTTGATGCATTTTCGATGCAAGACCGGAAGCACTTTAGCACCCCACGTAGCAGCAGCATCAACTATGACATTCTGGAGGCGTCTGGATGGAAGCAGCCACAAGATCCAGGAATCTAGTCCAACCCACAAGGCTACCAACACGGAATACCAAAAAAGAAACGCAAAGAAAAGAACTGCACAGCTGCACAAATTAAAAAACTGAGTACATGATACAGCACATAGTCGCAACAAGCAGGTTGTGCGCAGCAGCTTCTGCAGCCCCATCCCTGTCAGCATCTGCCCCGTCACTGGTCTCATCTACCTGATGCAGCCAAAGCAATTTGTCAGAACAGAATCGGCGTCTCAAGATTTTTGCACCATCACAGCACTTTGTAGATACGGTCAGATCTTTTGTTGAGTTGCAGGCATCACTGTTGGCTGGGGAAAGTGGCCTCAACTTTGCGTAAGCCAAACTTGCAGGCGAATTCTTGGTCTCCCTGTGCATCCTGCTGCTGAGGGTGTTGCTCACACGCAGCGTGCTCAAAGTCTGCATCACCTGTTGCACCAAAGAACTGGTGAGAGACTACCAGCGAAGAGACAAGCCATTCCATAATGCAAATCACCGATATATCCGATAGCTGGCAAAATCAAATGCTGCTACTCTGAACTCTGAACTCACGCGATATCTGATGTTACTGCAACAACATTTACGTTTTTAAAGATACTTTGTTTCGATGCACATTGTAAGGGTTCACTCAGTTCTCAAAGCTTTTTGAAGCTTCAATTGTCGATTGCTAGGCCCGGCGCTACCGCAACCCATTCTTGAACAACCTGTTGACCAAGAAGGCCTTGAACCCTGTGTTTAAAGCCTCCAGAACCTTCCAAATCCATGTTGCTTGAACTGGACCCTCTGAAACCTTGAGAACCTACCTTAAGCCTTACTAAACCTGCCAAACCCACTTGATGATCGGATGTTATTGGAATCCTTCCAAGTCTGAAACGTAAGCTATGTCTGTTGAATCGGAGCCATGCATGTATTTAAGAGGCAGCCAAGCTTAAACCGAAGACTTTACAGTAAGTAATACATGGACTAAGGTCCAAGCTCTTGCTAGGTTTTGTCTCCTCGCAGGCGTAGGGAGGAGCCTCTCAAAACATAAGACCAAACCTTTAGTACAAAAGCATCGCAAGCTTGAGTCTGAACATCCCAATGTCTGGCAACTGCTGCAACTGAGCACTTGCCTCGACATTTCTTGCCTGGAGCTGGGTCGCAACTGGTTCCCTAAGGTCCACCTTCTGGTGTCGCCCATCTGCACGAGCTGCTTTGAGCTCCTGGTGCAGCTCCTCAAAAAATCAGACAGGACAAAGGGATGATGAGACCCAATCCCATCAACCTTGGTCCAAATGCAACTTTAGTATCTTTAGGACACATCCCCACAAATCCAATGAACACATAGCCTTTTTGGAGGCTGCCAGGCTTGGCCACATGTTCTCTCCTTGATGGCTTGCTTAAGGGCAGCTTCCCCAGAATTCAGCAATTGATTGGCTGCCTTTACGTCCTTCAGTGGCAAGGCTTCAGTTGAAGGAGATGAACCTTGCACAGCTCTGCACAGCTCTCCGCAGCTCTGCACAGCTCTGCTCATCAGCTCCTTGTCATAGAGCCGTATGATGCGCCTTTTCTGCTCTTCCTTGCTCAAGGGCCAATCCTCCAAGCGATGCGAATCTTGGTACTGAGATCAAAGACCAACAGCATACAAACAGTATAAAAAGTTCTCAAAAGTCCATCTCCTGAGAACTGGAACTCATGCGCTGCGCTGTGTCAACAAACAGCTTCAGGTTGGGCTGTCTGCAACCCTGACTAACGGTCGGACAGTTGGACAAGTTCTAATGCATGGCCCTCCCGCTCCCTAGAGAAAGAGAGGAAACCAAGTTTCTTTTGGCATAGCATGGGCCGGCAAGATCGGTGTACATGTTTGCATGTATATAAACATGCACCGCGTATACAGTATATAGTGTATATATCTACAGAGAGAGAGAGAGTTTGGTGCCTTTGAGCCGAGCTGCAGAGACCGTGCCTTTGATGCAAACCGGAAGGTCAAAACGATGCAAAAAGATTACAGCATACAAACCGAACTTGCAGCTGTGCCTTTTCAATAGCAACTCTTGGCTTCCAGGAAGGCTTTGTTGTGAACAGGGGCAACCAGAAACGCACTCTGGCAAACCATCTCGGTCATCCTCAATGAGCTGCTTTGCTGCGAGTGTGGTTTGATTGATTATATAATATATCTTACTGTAATCTGAATCTAGCTATATCACTCCTCTTTCTATTTCCTAGTTTATCAAGCCAGAGCTCGCAGTGCTTGCCATAAGCCTCGCTTGTGTACGAGCAAGGCAAGCACTATCCTGCTCATGCCAACTTGGAACAACGAGGGCCAGGTGATCCAGGTGATGGCCTTTCGTTCTTTCCGACACTTCCACAATTCCATCACACCGCCCCCATCTTCACCACCATCATCCTGACCCTCGCACAGAACTTCAAATTTCATACAGTATACCATCCGTATCTGGTATACGCTGCTCCCTTTGAATCCCAGCTATGCCGCTAGCCGCTAACCTGAACTTTCTCCCTCCCCTCCTTCCGCAGGTGGCCTTAACCTTGTTCTGGGATGAAGTTGCTTGGGATCTCACTCTGTTCAACATGGCCAAGCTGGGTCTGTGAACATTCACAAGTAAAGCAGAGCAATGGTGGCTGTAACTCACACCTTCTTGTGGAGGGTGATCATGATTCTGGCCTGGGCCACTGGGGTTGGAATTCAACTGCCATATTCACAGCTTTGTGCTCAGACTCTGAGACCCTGGCACAGCCTCTCTCAGAGCCGTTGCTCAGCTTCATTTCCTCAGCTTCGCAAGCATTCAAGAATTGTTGAGCAAAAGGTTCACTGGTTTGTCAAAGGATACCCAGCTTGTGGTGCTCCACGCGTAGGGTGAGATTAGCAAAGCACAGGGACTGCACAAAGTTCGCAAAATACAGAGTGATATTTTGTTTGACGGGTTCCATCTTGTGGCATCAATCAGAATGTCATGACATGCATGTTTTCCAGCACGTTCCATTAGTAAACTCACTCTGGACTTGCTTTCAGTACGACCTTCAAACGCGATCCAGCTAGGCCAAGGGCCGGATACGAGGTCTCAATCTTGTGGATGGTGGCCTTGACACGAGGTCTCGAGTCATTGGGAGGATGACGCACCAAAGTGATTCCAAGGTCGTTGCCAAACCCTCCTTAACAACAGCACCAGCCGCCTGTGCCTGAGGGGTGGTGCAGGGGTGCAAAAGCCAACGACAAAAGCCATGCCGCGTTTCATTTCATACACTTGAGCTCGAAGCAGCGATATTGATTGCATCGCCAAGGCCAGAGATGTTTAAGACACACACCTCGGAGCAAAGGTGCAAGTAGCCTAGATTGAACCCCGTAAATCCTGAGCCCAAAAAAACTGTGCTCTCTTATGAATATACAAAGGGACCCCGTTCCCTCCTCACCCGGAGGGATTAGGGCAGTACACGCTTGCGTCTCTCGACCTCTGCTTCACCAGCATCGCACCAGGGTCAGGTCCACTCCCGACCCAATATTGTACTAGCGCAGCTATGTGATCCAGCATCCTACTGTGCAAGTGTTCCATCGGCCCGGGTGGGTTCGACACAAGCAGCGAGCAATGAGTGGGCTTGAAAACACATGCAGAAACAGCAATGCAAGGAGGAGCAGCAACTTTATGAATGCAGTGGCTCAACCAATCCTTCAAGTGGCAAATAGGAACCAAAAAACAAATGACAAGTGTGTTTTGCCACACCTCACGTTGACAAAAACAACAACAGCAATGACTACGACAGCGGACCAGCGTTTGACAACCAAGATGCCACAATGCCCAAAAAAGAACTACTGTATGTCCAAAGTTTCGTTTAAAACTTTGACCTTTGATCTGTTCATACTTTCTCAGCCATACTACACTCGGGTCGCAGCCCAAGGCGAAGTGGACAAAAAAAGGGGCATCGCGAAAATAGGTTCAAGACCAGCCTCTGGCAACCAAAAGCAACCCGTATCACGCACATATACCACGCAACCTATATGCAGTAAGTGAAAATATATATATATATATAACTATACACTATACACATACCGTTCCTGATCCGTTGCATTTGGTTCAACCGGATGTTGATCCCATTGTGGATTACTCATGCACCTGGGGACGTAGCATCCGCCACCAAGCGGTCTTCTGAAGTACAGGGGTCCCAGGGGTTGGGGGAAATCCCTGTAGCTCCTTAGGTCCTTGGCTTCCTGTTCAATAGGGGAATATGGATACTGCATGATACTGCCGGCTCCTTTCTTCGCTCCTGAGCACAAGCTAGTCTCCTCTCTACTCTGTCAACACGATCTTGTGCCCAAGTGTTCAAGACATGGTGCGATGAGTCTTTGAGTTATATAAGTTGTCGTTTAATGTGCTGCACCCCCGAAATGCAGCGGATAGCTCACAGTCACAGTGTCGTCATTTGCTTTGATGATTCTTTCACCCCTTGCATGCTTTTCTTGACTAGGGTTGCCACCGGCTCACGGTTCTTGCCTTCTTTATCCACAACTCCAGTGAAGAAAGCCTTGGCAGAGTTCATGTAGAAGTTGATGCTCTTCTTGGCAGTCACCTAAATGGAGCATGGAGTGCTTTCTCCAAACCAACAAGCGTTTGGTGTGTCCATCTTATTTTCTTCGCTGCCTTCATGTCCACGGTGCCCGGAGTCGTCTCACCTTCAGCAGCCATGGAGCCGTCAGAAGCGAATCAAAGACAGGGGGCGAGCGAGCAATGCGATCGATGAGCTGGAGCCAAATCACTTCGTGTCATCACGAGAATCAAAACGACAAGGCATTCCCCTTTTGGCCTATATGTGCGTATATGTGCACCCACAAACACCTCGTGCAGCAGAACTACTGCGGAGCAATTGCTTCTGCCCCACCCTCTTATAAAAGAATTGCCAACTTGGAACCTCCAGGGACAAACCGCTCACAGGCACCTGCCTAGCCTCCGGAGCAACCCGTATACTGTATACAGTATATAGAAGATGCAAAGACCCACTGGCCTGAAACCTCAGTTTGCAACCTGTCAGTGGCCTTGCACTTCCTTGCCTCACGGAACCCATCCAGAACCTGCAGGAGCTCACTGCATCCTTCGGCGTGACACTACTTCCAAGTGCGACTTTGCAGAATAGGTTTTGAACCTTATCATTGGCATTCCAACGGGATCCCCACTGCCCAAGCCAGTGTCCGAATCTATGTTCGCCGAAGACACGACAAAGTGTTTTTATAAAATTGAGGAGCCGCAACAAGCCAGCGTCGGGGCTATGTATGCTTGGTGATCTATATGCCGCGTTCCGCGTTCCTCAGAAGCAGTTTGAGGCAAGCATTTGCAGAGAATCCTGTGAGTATACGCGACATTTAAATGTGAAGGACACCGTTCACTCCACTCTGAGGCCTGTCAACTAAGGTGTGTTCACTGCACACTGAGGCATGTAGAGCCTGAGCCTTCGAAGCCTTTTGCTTCCCGAGTGTAAAGGGATGACGGTGATTTGGGTTATGAGCCCAACGCTCATTCCTTCGTATGCAACCGCATTTGCACTGCTGTCATTTAGATGGTGCAACAGCTGCGCTCGAAGCAGAGGTCAGGCAGGGTTTTGAGGGGTCGACTTGCAGCATCCGAAGAGTTGCTACGATCGAAACGCAGGGCCGGGCATTTTGATGCACGCACAGAGGCATTGATCGCCGACATTGCCCGTGCTTCAACGCCTGGTCCTGTGAATGCACTTCGACATTGCATGCCACTACACTAGCAGAGCTGATGGCAAGCAGCAGGGTCAAGATACCAGAACTGACACCAGCAGAGCTGATGGTCAGCGCACGGGTGAAGACAGCAGAGCTGAAGTTTGGATGAAATCAGCAGAGCTGATGCAGTGCCAGTGCAAGAGGGACAAGAGGTTGAATTTAGCCCCTGTCTTAGAAGTTCCTTTGCCGGAGGCCGAGGTTGCAGTTAGCGAAGGCTTCGCTTGCGTTCCCCAAGCCCAACGGCGCACCATCTCCAAGCTGAGAATGCCGACCTTGTAAAAGTTGCATGGAGCCGCTCAAGGCCTTGCCCCAGTTGCCAGAGCCGAAACTTCAGAAAGACCGCCCTTCGGTCTTGCGCAAGTGGCTGGAACAAGTTCGCTTGTGTGTTGAGCCACTGTGTGAAGGGGCGACAGCATACTGGAGTGGAGTTCTTGGTGCGTCTGTTCAAACTCATGGGCAGTTCTTTCTTGCCACCCCCATAGAGAGTTGACATGGTCCCTGAGTTCGGGCAGCGCCTCATCTGCGCACACAGATTTGGCTCATCTGCGCACACACATTTTGTTAGCACGTGCGCCTCATCTGCGCACACAGATTTGACTCATCTGCGCACACAGTCCATGGGGGAGACTCAAGTGCGCACACAGGCCCTTTCCCGGATGTTTGCTTAGTTAAAAGGGTCGTCAAGATGGAACGGCCACTTCCTCCTCTAAATTTTACCCTCGGGTGGCTCACCAAAGGGTGAGTCAACTTGGA